ACTTTTTATGCCTGTGCTCACCAAACCCATCTTGAGTGTTTGCTGCTAAAAATATAATTTTTTAGTTTAATCTGACCATAGAAGCCAGTCCCATTTGAAGTTCCAGTCGTGTCTGATAACTGAATATGCTGGAGTTTGTTTTTGGATGAGCTAAGATAATTTTTCTTGAAACCCTCCCAAACAACTTGTGGTGATGTAGGTGCTGTTTGACCTTTTTGTTTAAAGGTTTTCTGACCCCGAGACTCAACTATGTTCTGCAATTCTCCAGCTGTGGTCCTTGGAGAGTCTTTAGCCACTCAAACTCTCCTCCTCACCGTGCATTAGGATGATATAGACACACATCCTCTATTAGGCAGTTTCGTAACTGTTGATTGGAAATTCTTAATTATTGCCTTGATGGTGGAAATGGGATCACCCTGGAGTGCTCAAAATTGTGAATATGAATGGGAATATACTTCAGAGATATTTTACTCATAATAATTTCTAGGGGTGCCAACAATTGTGTCCAATGTGTATTTGAGAAAAACATTTATTTCATAATGATATTTCGCCCAATTTTAAATTCTTATTATCCAATGAAAGGTTAGATTTTTGTGATTTTTTTTTTTAAATAAAAGATCAAAAGGATTAACAATGCAGATTAATTTTCACAGCCTTCTTTGATCATATTTACCAAGGGTGCCGATATTTTTGGCCATGACTGTAAATTAAGATCTTTTATTGTAAATTAAGCCTATTTTATGGTCATTAATATATCACCTTGTGATTTCATTGTGACATTATTTTAAAGACAGTTAAGTACATTTAACTCCCAAATTTCCATTAGAATGGATAATAAAGATTTAATCTAATTCAAATTCTAGCAAAAATTGCTCTCTTATTTCTTCCGATTTTCAGATGGAAAATGACCTTGACAGTTTTCTTGAGATGTACTCATGTTGGAGTGCTTGCTAGCTTCCCAAAAGCAGAATACAAGATGTCTTTCGTGCACTGGAGCCTGACATTATTTATACAGTCCTCGACTCTGCATTGTCCCAGAGCAAATCAAGCACATTCAGATCTGGAGTGGAAAAATCAACTTCTTTTCTGGAGAAATCTGCTTCCCTGAAAGTTGCCTTTCGGTTGCCAGGTGTTTGTTGTTTTGTGCGCAAAAGCCTTAATTACTGTATGAGTCTCTGAATGCAGAATTCTTCCACCACATCTGTCTACCAATTATTCCCAGCAGATGTTGGTTCGACGAGGAAGCTTCTCTCGCATCTCGAAAACTGGCATTCCCATATCCCATATCCCATTCCGTGCTTGTGCTCTGTTGACGCATGCAGTTTTAGTCCTGCTGTATAGAGGCGTTGCTCTTTCTCTTGGAAGGAGGCTGTTAATCTTGTCGAAAAGCTGAAGGGCTCGATTGTCCTCCCCTGACAGCTCTCGCTGGAGTTTGGAGCTGTATTTATAAAGTCATGACCAGAAGACAAAATACAATTTTCTGTTATTCTAGAACAAAGTCCATCACTGTGCTACACGGATGTAAATTGCTCACAATATTTTTAAAACAAGTTTTTAGAGGCTAAGCAATTTGGTCAGTATGCATAAATTCTTGTTTGTTAAGTTCAAACCTCATTAAACAACATACGTTTTGGAGTATTTTCGTCTGTTCATTTAGTTCCATGCTGTCCATGACGATCAAATAAATCCACAGCTGAGCTTGACTGCTTTAACAATGTCAAGCTCAAAATGTCTTCCAAGAGTGATCAAATGGCAAGTTGTGAATGCCAGCAGCTCCTGCTTTCAACTAAATTGCTGATTACTCTCACTAGAGCCTTGCAACATCTCTCTCTGAGCGAAGATTGTTAATCCCGTGCGACCTGCAGACATGAAGGTCTCCAGCAAAGAGCGTCAAACAACAGACTGAAACTTTTCGTCATTTTCTTTTCTCGCCCTTGCTCTTGGAAGCTATTGAACCGTAAAGCACATGGCTGTTTGGAATCATGTCAGCTCAGTCCATTCGATGGCCATCTTGATAACAGCTCTTTCCAGTCATGCGAGTACAGCTTTTATTGTCTTGAATGGAGAAAGTTAAATAAACGAATGGTTATCTCAAGATTTAAATTCTGCGACTATTTACTCACCCCCATCTTTATAAACCTTGACTACTTTTCTTTCTTCTGTGGAACCAAAAGGGAGGAACTTAACAGAATGTTCAGACTGCTCTTTTCCAGTGAAAGTAATATTTTAAAGGCAGATTTCTATAGCAACTTAAATTCTGGTCTGTTCCTCACAAAATATCACATGGCTTCAAAAAATCTGAAATGTAATGCATGAGTTACAAACGTAGTGTATAAGTACATTGAGTTTTCTTGTGTGTTTTTGTCTGCACAGTGCCATCATGGGCCATCGTCGCCATTGCGTTTGTTGCTGTTGTACTAGTTGTTTCCTGTTGCTTCTGCATCTGCAAAAAGTTGATATTCAAGAAGAAGAACAAGAAAAAGGGCAAAGACAAGGGCAA